GTATTACCAGTTCTTTGATCTGGGAAATAAGGTCAGCGATTATGCACTGATTATGTGAAGTATGCATATTTTAATTAGCAAAATTTCATAATGTTTTCCACAAGTTCTGTTCAAAAATATAATTTTATGCAAGATAGAACTCTGGCAATAATGCATTCCATCACTTTGTTAGACACAAAATCTTTTGAGGATCTTTTATCTCTAAGGTCTTGAAGAGATTGAGGCAATTGACATTTAGTTTCAAGCTTCAAATCATGATCATTCAGAAAATTGTTGTGGACCAAAAACGAAAATGTCCTTAAGACACTGGGTAATTGTATTTACTATAGGTCATTTAGGTTAATATTATTGTATGCATCCTACAATTACAATGGGTCTTCTTATTCATTTTACTGTTTGAGGGAGCCCATTTTTCTATTAGAAACATTTATATTTTTTCCCATAATTGTCCAAGCTATGTTATAATAGTGTCATATAATGACCTTTAAAAACGTGTCTAGAAAAGCCTGCAGCTGCTCCCTCCTTGGGTTCTCTCTACTCAGTTATATTTAAGTCAGTGTCTCTGAAACCAGGCAGTAATAAAAGGGATATTATCCTTAGCAAATATCTTAATCATGGTAAATCTCTGTTGCCCTACAAATGACTGCATGGGGGATTAGAGTGGAGTAAGCCATTTGCTGAATATCACTGCCACCTTTCAGAGGCCATTTAAGCGTGTTTAATTTTTCAGGGTGAAACATGAAACCCACTAATACAAATGTTTGTGTTTGGCCTGAATTATATCCAGACTGTAACAGTTAGAGCAGGCTTAGGACCAGATTGTGAGTGATCTGTAGGAGGTCAGTTCTGCTTGGGAGAGTGAGAGAGAAAAATGCACATTCGTTCCCAGTCCCAGCTCTCTTATGTCACTTGCACTGCCTCGGTTCTTTTCAATATTTATGTCAGGTTGTTATTGGTGAAGTACCAGTGAATATATGGAGGATGCTTAGCTCTGTATTTTTTTAGTATCAGTCACAGTCCTTACTGTTGTCCAGTGCCTGAGAGCCACCAGTGTCTGACTTTTGCTCACCCTGGTAGTGGCAATACTATGAAGTAGAAAATACTTTCAGAGACTTGTGTCCTCCATAGCATCACTTTCTTATCTGTTTGTTTATCCAGATTTCTATCAGGTTGCCCAGAAACACCAAGACCGTCTGCTTTCCAGTGATCAAGCTTAAAGGAACGTTTTGGGAGACTGAAGTATTACTGTGTATTTCATTCTTCCTTTTTTGAAATTCTTTTAAAGAAATCAGTGCCTCACTCTGTGCCAGACCAGGCAGCTGCAGCCTAACCAGTTTGGGCTCAGCCAGAGCCTTGGGAACTGGCAGCTCCAATAGGTGTTTCCTGGGGCAGAATTTAGTGACTCCGAGGTGACATCTGCATCAAGTGGCACAGCCCTTTTACTTCACACTGCAGTGTTCTGGGAGCACATCACCCACAAACTGCCCTTGTTCCCAAGAAGTGTACACTCAGGTTCACCTCCCCAGTCTGATTTTTGAGCCATCCATCAGGCAGCTTCCCCCATAAGCCCTGAATATGACTTCCCAGGGTGGCTACAAGACTAAGAACTGCAAATGCAAGAGGCAGTGTTTTGTTGTTCATAGAATCATAGAATGGTTTGTGTTGGAAGGGGCCTTAAAGACCATCCAGTTCCAACCTCTCTGCCATAGACAGGGACGCCTTCCACTAAACCAGGTTGCTTAAGGCCCCATCTAACCTGGCCTCGAACACTTCCAGGAATGAGGCATCCACAACTTCTCTGGGCAACCTGTTCCAGTGACTCACCACCCTCACAGTAAAGAATTTCTTCCTAATATCCAATGTAAACCTGCCCTTCTTCAGGTTCAGGCCATTCTCCCTTGTCCTATCACTCTGTGCCCTTATGAAAAGTCCCTCTCCAGCTCTCTTGTAGCTCCTTTAGGAATTGGAAGGTGCTATAAGGACAAGTTGTTAACTGTCTCATAACTGCTGGAGTGACCCTCAGTAGTGAATGCCTGTCCATCCCAGTGGGCTCAGTGCAATATTCACTGTGTTTAAATCTCAGTCAAGTTTCCAAATTACAAGCTCTGACTTTGAATGGTCAGCAGAATTTAATAAATATTCCAAAGACCTTAAATGAGTCCATAGAACATGTGGTTAAGCAATCAGTTATACTTGTTAATTGAGATATGTAGCTAATAATAACCAAACTGGAAGAGGAAATTGAGTTACTGCCTTGTAAGAAATAAGACCTTCACAGAGGACCCTCTCATTAGAGGCTTCAAAATTGCTCTTTTTTTAAAGTTAATCAACTATTTAATATTTCAACCACTTCAGCCAGTCACAAATATTCTTCTTTTCTGTAATATTGGTTTAACATTAACTATGTATAGCTTGTCCTATTGGAGAGTTTTGTGCCCTTGTGCTTTTAGTTTTAATTTGTGGTTTTTTCCTAAAATAAAAAAAGGTCTAATAGGTCTATAAAGTTCTATTATACTCTGTTAAGTTTTATAGTTTATAGCAGGCTAAAGCTTTGACTTATTTTCCCTCACAGAAGAAACAAAAATCCTATGGGAGACATTTATAGGCGAAGAGGAAACCTCTTAGTATGTTCAGTGTTGCATTCAGATGCTTTCATGTTGATTGTGGATGAAATACTTACATAGATAAGACGGTCATAGAATCATAGACTTATTTAATTTAGAAAAAAATCTCTAAGATCATGAAGTCCAACCACTAACCTGACACTGTCAAGTCCATCGCTGATTCTTCACAGCTACATGAAGTTCTTCTCTTGTTACATACTCTGAAGTTGCAGAAAGCTTTTATTTCTGATTCCTGTCACTGTTTTACATACTCAGCTGGTCATGGGTTTATTTGTATAGTTATTGCTGAGGGATGTGTGTTCTTTGCACAGTCTCTCCCATGAATGAATTAGGCCTTAATTGTGTCTTCATCTACAGCGATGGATCACAAAGTGTTTTCACATTCAATAAATATTTTAAAGCTTTGAAAGTTTCTCTGCAGTGGGAGAAAAACTAGGATCTTTCAGAGTTTCTTGCAAAAAAGTTGCAGAGTGAGAAGGAAGATTATGTACTGGAACAGGGTCTAGGATTAAGATTCTCACCTGGACTGTGAAGGTTTGGACTAGGGTTTTCACATTCCAATTGATGATCTGAACACCAGGTAATAAGCTACTTTGAGGGGGCTATTTTTTGGCTTCAAGCAGGAATTTCCAAGTTGAGTATGAGGAATAATTTTGTTCTCAGATATTTCTTTTAAATCAGCATGTTCCTGTTTTGGTGTAATACATGTTTTCTCCATGTAGTTTCTTCTGAAAAAATCTAACCTAAAGTAGAAATTAGCCCTTCTTCAAACGTGATTTAAGCTAGATGACCTCCTGAGGAGTCTTCCAGCCTAAATTCTTCTATGATTCAACTTTGGTGGAAGAATTACTTTCCATCATCAATAAGGAAAAACAATTCTTGAACCTAGAATTACACTACAGTAAAAAAATGTCACATTAAGTGTTAACTACCAGGATTTAAATACTTGAATATCAAAATATAAAGTAATTATTAGCTGGTGCTGTCAGTTACTGAATAGTTTGGTGCATATAGACTCTGTATAAGTTCTCATATATATATATATACACATGTATGTATATATATATACGTGTATATATATATATATGTATGTGTGTGTGTCTGTGTGTATGTTTGTGATACTAGACACTGAAAATCAATGCCAGAGAGAGACAAAAATCACGTCTATGCTAGGAAATGATACAGGGCCAGGGGCAGCCTCAGGCACTGGCTGATGGTTATGTGTTTGGTTGCTTGTGTGCTCTTATGGCACAATTTTGACCTGGTACAACTAGAGGCATTCAAGATGAAATGACTGATCATGCCTGGGAGGTTACCAGGGGTCACAGACCCTTCCCAATAAGCAATCTGGATGCTGTTGTGGCTACATTTATAATGGTAAATAACATAAGCAAGTGCAAGGTCACTCTATAGAAGCTGGGGAGGTTGAGGGTGTATTTCTGGCTGTGCCCTAAGTTGGCTGCAGTGTCCACAGACATGCCACTTCAGTTTTTTTAGTCTTTTTATGCCACTGCTTTTTTCTTAGTCTCTTTCTTTCACAGTTGTGGATGTCTAGCTGTAAAGTTTCAGCTCTTCAAAATAGTATTTGTTTTCATTGATGTGTTGGCAGACACACATGGGCAGGGCCTATTCTAGGTTGGGACCTCTAGAGGTTCCCATAATCCAAATAATAGAAGAGAAGGGAATGACATGCAGTTTCTTAAGCAATGATTGTCCAGTCTTCTTGAGAGATGTAAATTGAGTGACTCTTCTGTGTGTACCAACCTTACAAGAGCAAGAATGTATTTTGCATTCTTGAGCTGACCATTTTGAGAAGAATTTGGGGAGTAGCTTTTGTATATCTGTGTTTGCAACAGGCAGGAGCAGCTTCCATAATTAACCAATTTAGCATAGCTCCCATTGGATCTACCAAGGGAGAGCTGCTGTGAAAAAAAGGCTTTTAAGAATGATGGTTTGAATTTTAGCTTCTGTGATGTACAATAAATGCTTGGCACATAGAGGGCTGATATGTATGAAGTAGGTTCCTAAAGATAGGCTTTCACCTTCCCTTGCCATAGCACCATGTGGAAATCACTCAATTGCCATGCATCCTCACTTATTTGTCTGCAAAATGAAATTTTGGCTATTTAACAGAACTGACACATGCTAGGCTAAATGTGCTGATACTGTCAAGGGAGAATGTATGATGGGAAAGATCCGTGCTCCTCTAGCAAATGCAGTGCTAAGGCTGGGGTTGTGCTGGCAGCTGATGTGCACCCCTGGGCGTGCGCCCAGAATTGCTGCTGAGCTCACACCACGGGGAGGTGAGAGGGCTCCCACCCTCCCTGCTGGGTGCCCACCTCTGGATCAGCTGAGTAATTGTTTGTTTCCTTCCAGATGAATACAAGAGTAAAGTAGCCTGTGAAGATGACAAGCTGAGGCTAAGCTGTAAGAAGAGCATGGTGATAGCCATTTACTCTGCTATCTTTGGGAGGACACAAGGAGGCAGCCTGGAGTGCCCATACCAAAACCTAGGGATGCCCATGATTGGTAAGCAGGGGAATGGATGGACAGAGCATGCTAAACTGGGCAGGGTGATTTCATTTACTGTCATCATGGTAGTGCTGGCACAAAACCTGATCAGAAAATTAAGACTGGGACATTAAACCTGCCATGGTAGTGCTCCTGATGTGTGGTACCTTGGTGATACCTGGTGAGCTTCATCATGAGCACCAAACTGAGGTTCAGCTCGATGTCCCAGCCAAGTTATCAAGTCACAGGCTTTTAACAGATACATCAGATTATATGCAGGAAGGTGTTTGGGTTTCTTGTTCAATTTTCTGTCCTCTTGGTGGTTCATACACCAAACCTCTACCTATAACATGAAGGAGCATATTGTCATGTGCCATCTGCAACATTGAAACCTTGATATTGCATTTAATTTTTTACTGAAGTTAAAGCAAGGGAGCAAATTAAAAAAGCAAGTTGTTAAGTTTCATCATGTTATGGTTGGCTTACGATATCTTCAGGTAACTTCTTTACTCTTAGGCTATCATAGTCTCTTACAGTCAGGAGTGAAAGATAAATAATTGAAAAGCATTCGCTAGAACTGTCTGTTCTTGAGCCAATGTGAAATGACTTTGAATATTTTAGGCTGTGGAAGAGAGAGCAACAGTCTGCAGTACAAAATCCTGTGTTCAGCATTGCTCATGATCCTTCTCTGCAGAGCTGAGAGGGAATTAAGTGATTTCCCAAAGGAATTGCCTCCAGAGGGGGAAAGGCTTTAGTGGGAGTTGTACAGGGAAGCTTGATCTGCTGCTCTTGCCTGTGCTGGGATCTGTTCAGCTGTATGAGATCTTCGGCTTCAAGCTGCTGATTCAGTGCCCTTAAGGAGTTAAACGCTATTCAAATGGAAGCACGTGAAGTGACTCCTTGGAAAAATAATACACAGATGATGGGTATCAGTAGGAACTCACAGGTGGAATCAGGCCAGTCAGGTTATTTGTGCAGCGTGGGGAGTGCCTTAAAGTTGTGTAGCTGTGAAACCCTGAGCACCTGCAGTACAATTGAGCAGTGCAGAGTCTCCTACCCAGTCCCATGGGTGAGGTGAGTGACAGCAGAGTCAACATCCTTTAACGAGTTATCTCCCATCTCTTGAGGTGACCAATGTCCCTGGATGTGTTTCTGTTGTCCCCCAGATACCAGGGTGCAGAAACTGAAGCAGATACGTGAGGCAGGTTAGCTTAGACCACTTTCGACTGGTGTTTGGGAGGGGCTGTGCGCTGGTTTCTGTGGTGGTTGAACTGCTGAGTGAGAACTTGCCGAGTCATTAAACTGGATGGGTTTCTGAAGTAGACCCGAGCACCCCAGTCCTCTGTCCTTGCTGAGAGAGCAGGAACAGGCACGTACCTGTGGCAAGGTACCAGCACAGGGACCTGCTCTTCAGTGTCAGCATGAAGCAAAACCTTACGTGAAGCTGCAAAGTTTTACTCTTTGCCCAGATGCTAAGTCACAAAACTTGTACTGTCTGGCATATGAGTATGTGACACCAGAAAACGGGATGGGGGGCAGTGGAGCTGGGAGAACAAGCAGTGGGGTCTGACAACAGGGCTGCACGTGCCATAGCATCTCCAGCGCCTGCATGCTCTGCTGCTTTCAAAGTGGCCTTGTGAGCTCTACAAATCGGGATGTTTGCCCAAGGAAATGAGGTGTCGGATCCCAGAGTGCAGCACCCAGTCTGCTGCTGGGATGAGGCAGAACCTTCCTCCAGTGTGAGCTCTTAAATGAAACTAGTTATGAGAGCTGGCTCAGTACAAGGCACTGTAACAACAAGCCAGGGATGGGAATGCTGAGGGAGCTTTACGATAAAATCCAACATGAGGTTTTAAGCTGTGAACTGATGCTAAAAATCACTGAGATGTTGGACACGAGCAGATATTCACATGTTTGGAACTGGTGAGGTCTCAAGTATCTGTGTTAAATCAGCCTGGAGCTGAGGGGTGCCGAGGAGGGAGGTAGGTAGGTAGGTAGGTATGACACCGGCAGGCTGAATGCCCTCCAGGGATGGGGAGGAGAGATGAGGAACTCACCATGGAGCAGTGACTTCCCTGGGTCCTCCCAGACATTTGGGCACTGTGTGTGCAGGGTGAAAGACAGACTGTAGCTGTTGACACTGATGTTTCCCTGCATGCTGGAATCCTGAGTGAAGTGGGTGTGTGTGTGTGAGCTTAACTAAAAAAAAACTGTGAGTGAGCAGGTGGTCTTTTGGCTCCCCATGGCTCAGCTCTCAAATTCCAGCTACTTTTGGGAGTTGTTGTTCAGGTCTCTCCAGCACCAGCTCACAGATCCCCTCAGCATGATGCTGCCAATGCTACAGGCAGTCTCTGCTTATCACGACCTTCCCTTCATCCACCTGTGTGAACTGACCCAATGGGACAGAGCTCCAGTGATGCAGGAACACAGGAAGGTGAGTTGTGGCTGTAATTAACACACCTTTGAGCCACAGGAGAAACTGGTGTAGGATCCATCTCCAACCAAAATCAGCAAAAAGCATATTCACATCGTACTTCCCCGCAGCACACTGCAAGAAATCACAGTCCTGCCTGCAGTTACAGCAGAGAACTGAGTGGGTTGTGCTCCCAGCTGCCACCAGTAATTGTGGGAGCAGCACTCAGGGTCCTCCAACCTGTTCCAGAAGCTGTGATTCTGCCATGGGCCTGCCTTGCCCAGCAGGCAACTCTGTTCCTTCGGGAGCAGGTGGAAACATCACAATTTATAAATCAAAGCTTTTGCTAGCTAAAGAACATTTCCCTGCACGTTCCCACGTTTCCAGTGTGGGGAGGGCTGCACCATGACAGCCTTTGATCCCAGACATTCACAGCAAGCTGATCTTACAAATATGACCATATGACTCAGACTTTGTGGCAGCATCTAGTTCCTGTAAGGCAGAACTGAGATATGTTCTGTCTATGGAAGATTTATTCTGTTTGAATTTCATGGAACTGATGATTTGTGTCAAGTCTGAGCCTTGGCAAAAGGCCTTTTGCTGGCAATTAGGTCCTGGACAAGTTTGCAGTGATTATTTATATCCAGGCAAAATGAGCTATTTGATGAGTGAAGGACTCATACTTGCCCCAAAGGTGGTGAAGGTTATCTTTTCTTCCTCTCCAAATGAAAAACAGTTCAGAAAATTTGATTCCTTTTTTTTTTTTTCCTGTGGAAGAAATGCACATTTGGATTGAATTTAGAAATCTACAGCTTGTACAGGTGAGGCTTTTAAAGAACTGAGGTCTAAGATGGGGAGGAGAGATGGCCTAATAGAGCATTGCATATATAAGGTAAAAAAATAATTCAATTTGTGTCATTTCTGCTTTGAAAAACAAGACTTTGTACTCCTGTAGAAATGTTAAGGAAATAAACTCTACCAACGGTGAGTTTCCCAGATTCTCCAGAGGCATGAGAGACATCAGGTGCTCAGATGGGTCCTGAGGTATCGTGATGTTGCAGCCCTTTTAATCCAGCTATTGTTGTGCTGCTTTTGGGTGATGTAAGGTCCCCAAGTCAGACTTCACACACCATGCCATGCCATGCCAGATGCATGCTTTCTCTTTGTCTAATGTCTGTATGAATGCACTTGTCATCTGTGCAGAGAAAGCTATTGCTAAGAACTCCATCCTATCCCTGTCACATTAAAGAGAAAATCTGCAAGATCCCCTTTTAGCTGGAAACATGCTAAAACTTGTGTCTCTGACCGTAATGGGAAACACCCGCAAACAGCTGGACCCCTCCTTGAATGCCTTGGGAACTTTGAAAAGCTCCTAAAGGAATTTGACCTTATTTGTAACTCTCTTAATAAAGCCTCCACTTTGCTGCCAGCATGTGCAGAGAGCATACACAGAGCATAGGGAAGTCTCTGGGGAAAGAGCTATTTACAAGCGATGAACCATTCATTTCCCTCAGCCTAGTGAGCCCTTTGCCCCTTTTTCATGCTGTTTACAGCTGCCTCTGCCTGCATCTCTAAGTTACTTGTTTATATCAAGAGAAGCCAATTTAAAAAATGGCCTCTTCCTATGTGTATCTGAGTGAAAGGTAATGATCTAATTTGGAGGCTGAGGAGGAAGAACTTGTATGGAAAATGATTACCCTTTTTATCACTTAGTGTAGCAATATCTTTGATCATATTCAGGACACCAGACATTTTTGCATTATTTAGTTTTACAGTAGCTACCCCTCTGAACCACAGAGAGTTCAGCTGACCTCTAACACAGGATCCAGGACTGCTTCTCAAGGACCCCTATCTCTCTCCATCACATATACAAAACCCCCAAAGCAATTTAATTGCTCATCCTGGGTAGAAGGAATCCGGGCTTGGCTTTGGAGTCAGTGCAAGATCGTGGGAACTCTGGCTTCTCAGCCCAGCTCTGGGTCGTGGTGTGTGGGTTAAGCTGAGTAGTCTGCTAAGAAGTGAAATGTCCTTGTCACTTAACATACAAGTTCTCTCCTGTGCCTCTATAAAGGGAAGAAATAGATGTGTTTACAAAGCCCCGAGGAAAGTCAGATGGTCAGTGGTGCTCTCTAATTCATGGAATCTGATAATGCAAGAGCAGCAAATGAGCCAGTCCTTTAGGTACTCATTCCCTGGCATTTTTCATTCTAATGCTTCTAGTGACAGAAGGTGATCCAACCCAGTTTGTTTTGATTTCCTCCTCTTAATGCAGATGTATATGGGACTCGAAGCAGAGCCCTCATATAAATATTTATTACACCATATAAATAATGGACCCTTCTAGTTTGTTTATCTGTGATCAGATCTAGCATGTGAATAAGTATGAAATACATGCAGTAAAAAATCCATTTTATTCCATGGTACTTGTTCCTGCCAGCACAAGAGCTGGTTTTAAGAGACTGCTGCCCCTCCAGATGTGCATTTCTATCTCTTTTCTGCTTCACCATCCATGACCGTTTTCCACCCTGTTTCCATCAGTACAAGTTTGTGGCTGTGCTCTAATCTAGGTCTTAATCAAATATTTAAAAATAAAAGGCCCCCAAAC